ACCAACCTAGATTCTTTGAAATATATGGTGGTAATTTTCCTCTCTAAAACAATGTTAATAACTTCCTTTATAGTAATGTCATGGAAAGTAGATTAACAGTTTCTTGTAATCACTTGCATGCACTTGGTACAGCTGTATCAAACATCATTATTTACACTAATTGCTTAAGCTAATATCTCGTGATGCTAAATGCTCTTTAATGAGAAGAATTTCATAAAATTTAGCAAATTTGTGCTTAAAAGTTGCCAATGAATAATAACTGTCCACTCATATGATTCTTATGAAAGCTTGAGCTAGAAACTGCTAATCTAGTTTTCTTGGCCTAACCAATACTTATGTATCTGCACATGCTTTCACCTTGTAGGTTTGCTGCTCTAAATCAACCTTCTTTAACCCAAATGACAAAAAAATTAAAAATAATCCACCTTTACTCTTAGGTGAAGCTTTTGTAAAAATTTCAGACCGATAACTCACTTGACTTTTTGTGTAAGCATGCACAAATATTTTGGTCAAAATTGAGTTGTTTTTGTTGACTAGCTTTGCACATGTGGCTAATATTTAGACCAAATTTGACACCTAATTGTAGGTTGTAAAGATCTATCAGTGTACCAAATTTGAAAAAAAAAATCCATGAAAGTTAAGTATATTTTTCTATCAAATATAGGTTCCATACTTTTGGTGGGAAGAAATTCAATCAAAATTGGAGATTTTATATCTCGTGTGTTTCTTAATGGATTGCCTTGAAATTTGGTATGTGAAGTAAGGATCCAATAGAGTACATCTACCAAAATTATGTGATAGTTTGGATTACCATGGTCTGAGCTAATGAAAGTGGAAAATTGCTAAACCATCACCCCTGTTAATAATACACAGTTTGTCCTGCAGGTTGTTTTGGCTGCACGACACACACGCTTCTGTGTGTCTTGATTAAACACCTACCTGTATCAGCCATTATTTATATTGACATTGTCGGAGAGATGTAGATTTTGCTTTATGTTTACTTTTCATTTCAGCAGCTTTTTCTTCTTTTTTTTTCTTTAATAATTTACTTTTTTGGTAAAACTTGCAGTAAAATATCTTCATAATTTAAAAGACTATAGGAAGTGAAAAACTTTCTCCCACATATAGAAGTAAAACTACCCTTTGCGTTATCCATTATTTTCAACTTTGTATATAGTTCACTTCTTTCATTTTCTGCTTATTTCTGGAAAAAAGTTTTGTATAGATTATAAAACTTGGACAATCTTTATATTCACTGAAAACAATTGACAGTATTTGAAATAGACGCTTTGGCTTTATATATGGTGTATTTAACTACTACTAATGAAAAAATATACTTATATAGGTAAATTCACAACATTTTATTAAGATACTTATAATATCAGGATCTAATCACACACACAGTGAAAACAATGGCTTGTATATGGTTATTTTTATAAATTCTTCAGGTGGACTTGAGCCAGCTCACCATCCTTTCACTGCTCCTCAAGAACAAGATACTCATCTTGTGTATTCAAATCCAGCAGCTGTAAGTATTGAAACATCATGGTATAGAAATATAACTATACATGTCAGAACTGTAGCTTTGTTACTAAGAAGTAAATTATTTTTTTTATTATTATCTATATTTTGTGTAGAGCAAATGCTTTAAAATTAAAGTTAAAACGTTTTTATGTAATAACATGTTGTCTTGTATGTTTGTAGATCATAAGCCATAAAACTAATAAATTTTGATTGATTAAAACCTATTTAGTGAGTACCTTGAAGAAGTAACATAGCATCTATTTTTACCACAGACAAACTTTAGGCTTAACGTTTAGTGAGGAACCTACTAAATTGAATAATTAATTCAAAAATACAATAACGGCAACTTTTATAGTAGGCAAGTTTGATTTTTATAATTACAACATTTTGACTTGATACTATAGGTTGAAACATTTTAATTACTAAATCATAACATGTCTACTGTAAAAAAGTTGCTATTATTGTATTTTTGAATTCATTAAACTTTAGATATCATTGTATGTACCCTAATATATGTACTTGTATTCACTTTAAACCAGTTAATAATGTTATTACATTTTAAAAATATAAATTGGGAAATTTTCCCTTTTTTTAATTAAGTTACAAAACTATATTACAATGTTTTATAAAAAAAACGGTTATTGATATTGTTTTCTATTTCCTTTAGATTATATTCGTATTTTCTTTCTTTAATGCTAATATAATTTTTTCATCTAGTACTTGAACGGAGTATATAGTCATAACATTGCATAATGGATGTATTGCAATTTAAAGATTGTTAAAGGAAAGTGTATTTTCTTTGTTGACAAATAATTCTTATATTTTATGTTGAAATAACTTAAACATTAAGTTTCTATGTAGTACTACGGTAGAAATCTTATGTTTTTTACTGTATCAGTATGACTCTTTACATTATTTTGAGTATATATATTTCCCGAAGAATATTTAATTAAATACCAACCTATATCAGCTATTGGTATCGTTTTCCATCCGTAGTAGCTTCATAAGCTTTAAAAGTCATATTAAAGTTTTTGGTGTAATATAATGTATAATGCTGTTGTTTTTCAATATGTATTACTTTTTATTTTAGGTAAGGAGCCAGCATTATGACTTGGTTCTCAATGGCCAAGAAATAGCAGGAGGTTCCATTAGAATTCATAGCTCAGAGCTTCAGAAATATGTACTGACAGATATTCTGAAAGTATGTTTTTTTTCTGTACATACAATTCTTTAACACAAACTACTGATGATTCAAAATCTGTCATTATCTTTTACCTTAATAACTAAAACATACGACACTTTTTATTCATTCCACCTATCTAGTGTATAGATTTTTCTCATAGTAACCATAAAGCACGTTCTCGTCAACAATATGCTTGATACTTTTTACTACAATATAGATCCAGCTTATCTCTCTTTGGTTAACTTGTGTTCAGGGTTACTGATGAGGAGTGGAATTCTCCAAAACTAGTATAGTCCAATAACACGTTGATCAGAGTGTAAATTGAACTGGATCTCCCTTGAACTTAGACTTCGAGATTAAACAATTTTCGGAATACTAAGTTTATATTTATTGTACTTTAATATCTGTATGTTTTATTGACATCACTGTGAACTGTTTATTACTGGTGCAATCAGCTTTTCAATATTCATGCGTTACTTCATCTTATTAGGGTAGTGCATATATACTGAATTTTTCTCTCTCAAGAATTTTAGTCCTATCAAAATATATGATTATCCCACCATTTTAAACTACTAAAGATATTATATTATTGTATTTGTCTTTCTATTCAATAACATGGGTTTCTTATTTTGTGTGCATCTGTCTGTCCCTCTCCTCCCTAAACATTTTGTACAAGTAATAACCTGTATTAAATCATGAGGGATTGTGAAATAACATGTTATAATCATTATAAATAAGAATGTAAGCTGAATATGCTATTCATTATCAGGTTGATTTTTAGTTCTAATCTATGTAGGTGACTTGCTTTGATCAGGATCTACTATTCACTTCATGCTTTCTTTATTTTGTTGTTGTTAGGAGGATCTGACTGAACTTCAGCATCTAATTGAAGCACTTGAAAGTGGCTGTCCTCCTCATGGAGGCATTGCAATTGGTAATGAATGATACAAGTTAATTTTGATTTCATCTTCTTCACTCTTTGATAAGCACTAGTGTTAACTGTAAATAGTATGATTTAAAATTAATTCTGTTTTTTATCAAAGGGTTGTTTTTATACACTTATTTCAATCATAAAATGTAAGATTTTAGCAAGGTTTTGGTAAAACAATTTAAATTTTGATGTATTTCAAAAATTAAGTTGTTGTTTTTTTTAATATAATACGGGCTATAATTAATGACAGACATCCACTTTAACATGATACAGCAAACAATGAACAATTTTACTCTTTCTTTGGAGAGTTTGCTAGAATTTAAACCATTGTCAAAGGATTAATAGACAAGAAAAATGTATTTGTGCCAATTTTGTGTACGACATGCACAATTTTGCATTAATGTAATCTCTGTTAACATAATTCTATGTTATCTATTAGTTATTGGTAGTATATTTACATATGAATTTGTAATGGGCAAACTTGTTTAGTAGGGAGAACTGTCTTCAAATTAAGTTTTTCATTTTCTATTGTTGCTGCTTGGATGTTGAATTTAAGGTTTTTCAATTCATTTTTGTCAATCAAAAATTAATATGTTAGTATATTACTTACGTAAATAAACTTCACAATTGTATTAATTAACCTACATACTTGTTATGACTTCAAACAGTTGTGAACTTTTTTGTAATTTAAAATTGACACACTGTATCATAGTTTAGATGCTGTGGGTGCTTTTCAGGTGTCACAGTTATCAACTGTTTTTATTTATACTTTAAAGGATTGGACAGGCTTATGTGTATACTCAGTGGAGCCAGTAGTATCCGTGATGTAATAGCATTTCCCAAGTCCTTGGATGGGAAGGATTTGATGTCAGGAGCTCCAGCTAAAATATCTGATGAGCTAAAAAAGTTCTATTTTATACAAACACCACCTAGTAATTAGTGTTAATAATGTTGTAAAGCTGTGACATTTTCATTTTTTTATCCTTTAATAAAGTAGTATCTATTGGAGTGATATTTTTGGGTTACTTGGTAAAAGGCTACAACACAATTCATGATCAAAGTACTACCGACCATTTTCTAAATGTAGAATTTTGTTTTTATCTTCTGAAAAAAAAACGAACTATGATAACTTTAAACATATCGCTTAAACCAACTTAAATGACAAATAACTTAAGCTCCTTTTAATAACCAAAGTTTACAAGTTTCATATAATTGGGCTTTATAAAAATTGGACACTTGGATCTTATTTTACATGAAATAAATACAAACGGATAAACCAACAGTTGACTTTCTAACGTGAAACTTCCTATTTCAAGCAGTTATTATTCAGTTTAGTTTTTTTTATAAACATTAAATGTACATTTAATATTCTTATCACAGAAAGAAATGTTAGAACCGATTTCTTCACGAAACATTAAACATGACATACAAATTACATGATAATAAAGTTTAAATGCTTGATCACTTGTTATATTTCATAAAAATTAATTCCTCATAAATTTAGTTTTTTTTTATAATTGACAATTGAGACTAATGTGCTCCTACTCTTTTTTTAATATTGTGTAAAGTAAGTTCAGGTCTCTTCTCAGGACCCTAGTTATAAAGTATTAACCAGTTTACAAAATGTATTAACAATACCTCAAAAATAGATTTCAGAAAAACTTTATTGCAAAAATTACACTTTGTAGACATATATTTACATTTTATTCCTGTTAGATTGTTTGAAACACTAAAATAGCCCATCATTTTAATTTATGTGGCAGAACCACACTTGTCAAGGGTAGTGGGTGATCAAAACCGAAATGTTTTCAAAATAAGCATATAATCACACTCCGTGGCTTTGGTACGCAAATACTCTTTTTTAATATAATAAAACAGTGCTAACTTGTACTTTTAATTTGTAATGAAAACTTTGGTTTAAGGTAACTATCTAGCTTCCTCGAGTAGTAAGGAAGACAGACCAAAACAAAATGAGAATAATTGAGCAAATATCAAACCCTGTTGTATATTTTGTAATTTTTCAAATATATATATATACCTTGTGGTAAAGAATTAAGTTAATTAATTTAAACACCAGTCAGTTTCTTCATGCTTTTACGATCTTTCCACAAACCAAAATTAACTTTCCTTTGAATCATTAAAAACTTGTTCAGCTATTTGTGAAACTACACTGCTCTCTTGAAGTATTACAAACAAAAGTACATGTTAATTTCCATAAAAATTTAAAATAACATTTTAAAAGGTTCGTATAATGTAAACTCTAGTCTTGGCTCTGGTTAGTGAAGAAAGTGACAGTGTAATGAGGCAATCCCGATTGATCAAAACAGCTAAAATGGGATATAGTTTAAACAACAAAACTACAACAACACAAGGTTCAACATCAACGAAATTTGAACCCCATCTTAGCCTTTATGTTTTAGCTGCTTTGATTTTACTAATGATCTCATTTGGGATAACTTCCACTTTTTAACAATTAACACATTTTGATCTGTGTTAAAAAAATTCATTAGTGTAAATCTGATATCATGTGGTATTCTGATGAACAATGGTGAAATATTTTTGTTTTGTTTTTATCTATTTATTTAATACCAGTTTTTAGCAGAAATATAATATACTGGAATGCCTCCTTTTTGTTTTTATTTAGTTTTGGATGATAATGAAGAAAAATATACGAGCTCTTTGATCAAGGGAAAATATTTCACACAAAATTATGAATTTTCTGGCAACAAATAACACACATCTATGACAAAGTCTCACTTTTGAAAAATCAGATTTTTTTCTCTCCAAAATTAAATTTCAAGATAATAACATTTAGTATCTATGAGCTCATAATAAAAACCATAACTAACAGAACATATCTTTAAAATATAAATTATCATTGGTAACTAAAAATACAGTATAAATCTTGTATTATTATTACTATGTCCTTTTCATAACCAAAGGTACAGCATAAGATGAACTGCTAGTCAGAAAATGAGGGGAAAATATTATAAAAGATAAGGACAATTCATTAAAATTGTGTACGAAATAATGAAATAGATCTATTCTGAAATGTGGAAATTTTAAAATGGTCAAAAGACAAACCTGGTACTTTTAACACTGATAAATTACAGTTGAAGTGAGTGTCATTACAAACATTTAGATTAGGTGATCCACACACACACACATTAAAAAGGGAAAAACATTATAAATATATGAATTTCAAAGTCATTTTTACATAACGACAGAAGGATTTGACAGAGAGGCAAAGTACAAAACTGGATTAAACACGTACATCAAATCTGATGTCTGCATACTGTGTGTTGCTAAAATTAGGCTACACAAACAATAGCCAATATAGATATACATCACACGATACTTTTTTTAGAAAATTTTATGACAATTTTTACTAATTACATACACAGGGAAGATAAATAGCTTTAATTCTAATAATACTTGTTTTGGTATACTTCTGAAGATTCACTGGAACATAATTAACTTTGTATACAGTCTTAAATCTCTTGCTCTCCGCATCATGAAAAGTGAGAATTCAAAGTAAGCACTACATAAACAGATACATCAGTGATTCAAAAAATGTTTAATGTTCCATATAATATTATCAATGTTACAATATCAGTAGATACAGTCAATATCAAAGGAGTAACATTTAATAATGATGAAATTTTTTTTAAATGAAGTGGTTCTGGCATTGTTACACTACAATCCACGAAACAAGTTTATTTCTATCATAAACTAAAACTTTGCATGATTTTTTTTTCACAATTCCTACAAGTAGATAGAAATACTTATCTTGTCCTTTAATTTCTGACTTTGGCTCTTCTATTTTAAACAGTGCTTTGAAGTAAACAACAAAACATGATTGTGATGATAAAAATGAAAAATTTCCACTTTGTAAAATCAATTTTACATACAGTGTCTAATAAACATGTGACATTGGCACTACTAGAACAGGAACTTTGACAAAAGTTGTAAACACTTATAATAACTCTTACCTGAGATAGACACAAACCACCATCATTTACCATTCGTGACTCTTTTCTTACACTTAAAATAAAGAAATGATCTTTGATTGATTTCAACATACTGTATGATAATGATATTATTTACAGGGTTAAAATTTAACACAAACAGGAACTCAAACACAAGAAATAGGACAATAATTAACTTACAAGCACAGTAAAACGTCTCAGACAATGGAAAAACAACAAGACTGTTGGAGTAAAATCCTTAATTACTAATGTACTTCTTAAAATTTACAAAGTTGATAAGACCCAGAGTTAACAGAGCAAAGTGAAATTTACATGTTTTCACAAATTACAAAGTTATATCTAGCTGCCAGCAAAAACTGTTAAAGGCAAAAGAAAAGAAATCAATATGAATGATTAATGTAAAAAAAAACAATTATGTTTTAAATGGTTTATTCCCTCAAAATATAATTAACTACCAAACAGAAATAAACTGGAGTTTAAATAATTTTCCAATCTCTTCAGCCTTTTATCTATCAAAACTAAAAGACGACACAGACACATCAAAATACAAAATCCAAGTAACTTTTCCTTAGAAACTAATGAGGTATTTCAAATAAAAATTAAAATAAACAATCAGCCTTGTCTTGAACACAGAAAGCACACTATTAAACAATAATCTGACAGTAATGTGACTAGCTTATGTATCCTCGTCTTTTCCATAAGAAAACAGTTTCTAGTCAGAAGAATGCTGATAAAAAAAACTGTAAAAAAAAAAGTCTGTTGGAAATATTTACATAAGAATAGTTTTTCTTAGTTATAAAAGTGTATGTGTACATCAGCCAAAACTGATGTACAACAAATATGTTCCAAGAATGGTAGAACAGGTAAGGCCAGTAAAAGACACTCTCAAAATTCAATCAACTTTGGTTAAATAAATAAATACTGGTGTACAAGTGATCGGGTGCCTTCTCTTGACCTTGAAACTTTATGGATACAAGTTAATAAAAACTTTTATTGCCAATGTGTTATTTATTGCAATATTAACTTCTGCATTATCAAACTGTATTTAATTCTGAAACTATGACAATTATGTGCTTTGAAATGTTATAGTACTAACACGAACAGCAAGTTTCAATTTTCAAAGAACACTTGTAACCTTCCACCATTAAAACTAAGAGCTAATAAAAACTCATCTGCCTGGTGGGTCAGCATTAAGTTCTTGGACTTATATATTATGTTAAAATCTGGGGTTTGATTCCCAGCAATAGACAGTGTGTGTGGGTAACTTTCTGTAGCTATGTGCAAAAAAAAAAAATATATGTAAGAAAATAATAAAAAACTTTTGAAAACCTAAATAAAAAACTTTTGAAAACCTAAATAAAAAAAAAGAGATTTTATAAAGAGTTGAAAATTGTTCCTTTAATTGAACAAAAGGAAAAACAAGTAGTAGATATTAGCATGAATGTGTTTTGGAAGCCTGAAGATTCATTTCTTATTTTACATCAAACTTTGATAGCTGGGGCTTTAACTGCTAACAAAACAAGGCTGAGTACACAGTTGTTCTCCTTGGTATCACCAAATTATATCGAGTTAAAAACATGGCACAAATAATGCTACTACTGATACCATATTGTTGCAACTGGTGAAATGAGTAACCTTACAAATAATTAACACCCTACGGGATTCTCCGGCATGAAAACAAAAGCTAACTTCCACACCAAGTCTATTAACAGCATGATTATATCTGAATAGATTCATTGTCAATGTGTTAAATGCATGGATGATTAACAGTTAACTTCCACACCAAATCTATTAACAGCATGATTAAATATGAATAGATTCATTGTTAATGTGTTAAATTTATGGCTTACTAACATTACTATTAGTTGAAGAACCTCAACACTAATTTTTTCACACTACAAATGATCCATATTTAACTATTATACAATTTTGAATTAGCTATAATCATGATTCAGTTCTGGAAGCCATGGCAACAAAGATTACACAAACACGAGATTCAATATGGTTGTATACGACAATAATTATCGAACTTTTTTCATCTTAGCTTGAACAAAAATATTTACTAAAACAATAATACAGTTTCCTAATTTTGTTGTTGTTGTTGACCAAGGAGAAAACTATTTCTTTTAATATTGAAAAATATAATTTTAACTAACTAACATTTTGATCAATCTAAAAGACAATCAAACCATTAAATAGGAACTAATGAAACCAAAAAAAAATCATGATCATCCAAACAATATGCTGATTCTCAAACACAATGATCTTGTGTAGTCTACTTCTGCATTTATAGAAATCCCAAATTTGTCAATGATAATTCTCCATGTTTTTTAAAGATGACAGTATATGCTTCTGCATTTTGAATGTTACATTTTTCTTACGTTTTTGGGGGGGTTGGGTTTTAAATTTTGCGCAAAGCTACACGAAGGCTATCTGCGCTAGCCATCCCTAATTTAGCAGTGTAAGACTAGAGGGAGGGCAACTAGTCATCACCACCCACCGTCAACTCTTGGGCTACTCTTTTACCAACGAATAGTGGGATTAACCGTCACATTATATATGGCCCCACGGCTGAAAGGGCGAGCATGTTTGGTGTGACGGAGATTCGAACCCGCAGATTGCGAGTCGAGTGCCCTAACCACCTGGCCAATACATCTCAGTAAATGGGATGATCTTTATAATGAGCGAGAATTAAATGCAAAATTGTTAACTTTTTTTGTTTACTAAATGAAATTTTTTCCCTAACAAATATTCCATATTAATTGAAACTGAACCATATACATCTCTATAACTTAAGTTTACATTAAGAGGAAAGTGATAATTTCCAGCAGAAGGGATTGTGTGCAAGAAAAAAACATACATTAGGTTTGAGAATCAGCCGATTCTTTTTGCAATGACCTGAATACATTTATCAATAGCCACACTGCTGTCAGTACTTTACTCAGCATATCCAACTGAACAGATAGATTACATAAAATATAATATCAACAATGGCATACTTGTATCATTAAGTACCTATTCATACTATACAAAGCAAGTTTCAAAATGCTGATGTGCCTTGTTCCTATACTGACTGTAATAATAATAATAATAAGCCAGACACAAGATAAAGTACTTTACCATAAAACACTTTCCTACATATAAAATTACAGAACAGACTGGGTGTTCATCAGTTAGTTGATAGAATAAAACACCCAAACTGCACAAATACCTGAGAATATAAAAAAAAGCTAAGCCTCCAAACTCCTACAGTTGCGTGTATGTAGGAGAAAAACATATACAAACTTGTAAGGAAGACCAGCTAACATATCTTGTCTGTTATTTGACAGTCTTTAGAAATAACACTATAACACTTGCAACCTTAAACTTGAATATATATGCCAGGAATAAAGATCAGATCTTTAATATATGATGATAATTAGACATCACCAAAACTCGCAAAGTTACAAAAACTATATATATATATATATGAATGTGTGTGTGTACGCAGAGTAGCAATATATTACTCTGAATTTTATTTACCCTAAAAAAGATGGACACCAGTATTGAAAGAAACTTTTCTTTCCATGTTTTGTAAATTTTGTGTGATCATGTTTTTTGCATATAATTAGTGAGTACAGATCTCAAATTAGAAAAAAAAAGCATGCATCTGATCAGTTAAATTTAACTTGTTTTACAAATATAAAAATTCGGAGTGTACTTGAACAGTTTTGGAAAATTTTTTGAAACTTGTTCCCCTTTTAGAGGTTAAGTTTTGTGATATTCAGTATTGATAATAAAAAGATAAAAGAAGATGAATTATAAGCTCTTAGATAAACTGTCAGTAAGAACAAAATAATGACAGGATTTGACTTAAAATACATAAAAAGCTGTTCATACAAAAATATTCTTATAGAGTTTAAATAATCTTTGTTGAATATGATAATACTCTTAATTATTGCCAGGAATAAAAACATATTTGTGTATGTTTTTTTATATATCTAATAGGAGTACAGTACGACTTCTTTCTTCCCCCAAAAAATCTATTCCTCACAATGACACAATCTGAATATCTTTCAATGTTACATACTTTAACAGTAAATTATTGTACACCATTTTAATTAAAAGAAATTTTGAAAGAAAACAAAAGTTTTGGACAGCAACATACATTTATGCTTTTTTTGGCCGCTATCTACTGTGTAAAATGTAAACTATAAAAATAACAAATGTTATTCTTTATATAATTGAAAATAAATAGATTAAGTTTGCTTTTTTTTCCTAAATGCAACACCCAATGGCAAAGTGCAAATTTAAAAATCTAAGCTTTTTGGTAAAGCCTCTGTAATTCATTATTGTTCACTCCCAAGGGCTGTTTTTATTATATACATTGATACAAGCTAATTAAAGCCACAACACAAAAACTTTAAGAGTATTCAGGATAAAATACATTGCCACTGTTGTGATGCTTGAAATTCTATGGTCACTCAACATTAGGAATAACTATACTCTCACTAATCTTAGTTTTAAATTCATACACTGTATGAATGCTGCATTTTTTATTAACATTTTAATTATATGATTGCAGAACATAAAAGTCGATGTGTACAGTAACTTATTGCTAGCAGTTGTACACTAAATGACTCCACAACCTTCTAAAAGAATGGGAAGATAATAGTGTATTGTAACACTAAACAGTGTGTGTGGCAACAGCATCACTTTTAAAAATAATATGGTTTCTACCGTGAACACCTACACAGCATAATTATGGTATTTTTTTTTCTGTGTTTTGCAACATTTAAAGACCATAAATTTAAATGATCCAGTCAATAACTGGTGTACATCTTTTTAGTTTTTTTTTTTGTTCCTGAGATTTTTGGCAATAACCACAACTTCTGCTAACAAATCTGCTGAATAGATTCTCATACTCCGAAACTTGTTGAAACATACGAGAAACTATATACACAAACGACTCATTTTCATCAGCCTTCAACCGAGCAGAAAAACATCTATAAATTTCAGAATAATATACAATTCAACGTAATAACCACAAAAATTGTACCTGAGACACTATGGCACCACTAGCAGCAAGGGGGTACCTCAACACACAACAACTAACTCTGGAAGTAAAAAGAATAAAAGAGAAAATTCTTGTAATATTTCTGGAATGAGAAAGACTATAAAATAATTGAATGATGCCTACATTCAATCCTAGTTTGATGTTAGTCTATCATATGATTTATTTTACTGGAGAAATGATTGGGTATAAAAGATATAAGTATCAGAAGTAAAAACTTTTTTAAGTCGCTGGTGATATGCGTCCAAAGTTTTATGTGAAGATGCTGAACTTTCAAAGTTTGCACAACGTTTAGCAAACATGGGCAAATATATATATATATATATATATATAT